ATTCTTTGATCTGCAAGTCTGAAAATATTCAAGTTTATAAGTCTTCAAAAATTTGTATTCTTAAATTCTTATATTGTCAAATTTTTAGACGTCGATATTTCTAAATCACCATGTGCTTAGATCTCCATATTTTCAATCAGTATGTTGCTAGGTCCACATATCCCTTATTCTCCACATACTGTATCCTCATATTTCTAACCTTTTATATTATTAAGCCACGTATCGCTAGATACACATGTCTGTGTATCCACATATGGCTAGATCCACATATCTGTGTATCCACATATGGCTAGATCCACATAATTCTGCAGACCCCTATACTTCCATAGCCTTAGATCAGCACATGCTCAATCCACATATTCCTAATTGTCCATACCCGTATACCTCCGTAGCCGTAGGTCTACATACATATTCTCAGTCCAGATATGTTTAGTTTTCCACATCTCCAGTTCTCCATGTATTTAGACCCCTACAGTACTAGATCTCCACCTCCCGCTCGTTCTCCCCATCCCCACATGCCCTTATCCACATCCTCTTATCCTTAGTTCATCACATCTAGACTCCTATTCCTAGATCATATTTCTATATCCATAGATGTATTTTATCTGTAAACCACACTATCTAAGCAACGATATTGCACAATGTTACGCAGTGATAGATCAGTGCCCCTTTTAAATTCTTGGATATTCGTAGCTCTTGATAAGATACGTCAAGGTTAAGATCATTGATCTCTTAAACAAGAATATTTACTCGTTGTGCTTCCAAAGCACGGCGAATGAAATTGGACTAGCTGTTTCTGCATCAGCCCGTAGATTCGCATCAGCTCACAAAATCCAGCCAGCTGTTTAGCGACGTCGTCGAGCGAAAAGAGACCGCGATCGTATCAGCTCGAATGCATCAGCAAATGTTTGTCTGCAGAGAAATTCGCTGAGTTCGCTCGTTCGTACATAAACACGCTTTCCGCGAGTCACGCTGATTGATGGGTAGTTTCGTATTTAATTTGACCTATTCAAATAGAAACAGGCTGCTTTTTTCTACGATATCGTCCGGTTAACTATGATACCATTTATCGAGCGGTCAATGTATAACACATATGCACACGTACGCAAGAGAATCGAAACGAAGAGATAGCACCGGTGACCCAGAGAAACGAAAACGTCATGCGACTCGTCTTTCGGAAAACAGCACCGCACGGGATTCCATTCTAGAATAATTGAACGGAAAGTTTCGGTGGAATGCGATCGATTCGCTAGATGGTGTAACGCGAACGAAAGCGGAAAATCGACCCGTGAGAGAGATCGATCCCGGTAGAATCCAATTTTGGTGTTCTCGCGTGAAAAGTTGTCGCTCGACGGTCTTTTTTACCAAGTTCCAGGAAATTGAATTCCGCTACCGATGGCTCGTGAAGCGGACAATTATCGGTGATTTAACGGAGGTGGTTAAGGAACGTGACGAAGCTGCTCGCGGAAAATCGTTCCGCTCCGCGTTGCGTTGCGACAACACCGTCCAACTTGATTTCACTTTGCCGATCGAGAAAAGAAACCGAGTTTGCGGCTTCCATGACGGCGAGAGAGGAAAATAGGAAAAAAAATAACCGAAGACGGTTCGACGTCGCTACGCTAACCAACGAGCTCTTACTTTCGAACGAGTTTCATTCGACCCGTTTCGTTCGACCCGTACGTGTATTGCTATTGCTATGCAAATTGACCATGACCCACTCGAGGTGATGCTGGCTCTATCAGAGGCCATTATCACGGTTACCGCATCTGATCGTTTAACGACCATTTGTCCGATGTCTCTACAACTCCGATCTCTTGATAAACTATTCAGTTCAATAAAAAGTTTCTTCGTTTCTTTATTGATTACATATCTACAGTCTTACTGAACAATGTCTTTATTGCCTCTCAATGTACGAGTGGAATCTTCGTTTAATCACTGGTTAGGTTCGCTCTGGAACATAAATTCATAGAAATACTTTCAATGTTTCGTGAATTGACATCGTCATCATTTTGTGCAACCTCACATTTTTGAGTTCGTGTCGAAATCATTTATTCTTAACCATTTGTAATAGATAAAAAGTCCATTATACTTGACACTGTTTTTTATAAGATCCAGAGATATCTTACGTATATGATATATTTTATCTGCAGATCTTATCTATAGGTGAGACATCTGAAGATCTGAAATGAGGTTACGAAATCATGAATGCACTTAAAAAATAGAAGAAAATTGAGACGTGAATTGAATAAATGTTATGTACGAATAGAAATGATATCTCAATAGGTTATAAAGGGAACTATACGGAAATAGTTCCATTGACATAATTAGGGATTATGTAACCGCGTTGCAAGGTAGTGTGGCTATCGAAAAGTGGCACCCCTTGTATGAAGACGCTAGTTACGCCAATTGTGGCAGCTGTTACAATTTGGAGTACTTGTTGCGTCAAACTAACAAGGAAGTATAAAGCTATTCGGAGTGAAAAATTTTAGGGAAGAGTTAAAATAGTTTATTAGAAGCTATACATCATCATAGAGATGACATTATCAAGGTTACCTATTTATTTTATCGTCTTGTTCTTATAATTTAAATTTAGCCATATTCTTCCTATGAAGTCCACATTTCTTGACTCTACATCCATTTTAACTTCACAATTGAAGTCAATGCTGTGCTTCATGCTATTAACCTTATCACGTAACCATCTACATATGTAGATCAATTTAGAAAAATGGAATTATTTAATTACTTGAATCACGTTTCTATCCTGACTTACCTATAACCTCGAAAGGATACATCGAAGATACATTAGAAGAAAAAAGTGTATAATAACCTATAATTCCACGAAGTGAAATATGCCTAGTCATCGATCAGTACATTGTCTCGTGCTTCTTCTCGTTCGACGTGTGTCGACTGAATAAATCCATCATGTAAGTTATGAAACAATTTTTGTCAAGAGCCATTAAGCGTTTCCTGATGTTGCAACGTCACCACACAGAAGTTGCCGGTGTATACAGAGCCGATTTGTGTCATTTCATAATAGATTAGCAAAGGATGCGCCAAGTAGGAAACATTGCATAATGACACGAGCAAACCTAAGAAATCGTGAGTTAGCATTTTCAGTTTGGTTATCGAAATTTTTTATTTAATAGATTAACAAATCTACTTTTTTTGTTGGTTTCATTTTTAAACCTTAATCATAAAGCGTTGCGTGATGCAAAACGTGTTCTCACTTGATCCTGTCTATTAAAAGGTTTTTTATAACAATGTAGATAACACTTATCGTTAAAGTCGTGAAATGATAATCGGAATTACATTTATATACGCAATCGTTGCAGGTCAAAAATGGGAGATATAGATTCTTCGTTCGTGAGAAAGTTAATCCTGAAACACCTTATTGATATTGTGTACTTTGATCATAAATCGACTGGATGAATATAGTTGCAGTAATTTTAATTTATAGTTAGTGTCATGGGTTAAATCACTGGCGCGTTAGGTTACCAGTGCGTTGGAGTACCACGCATTATATCACCAGGCGTTTGATTACCACCCGTTACATTACTACACATTAGATTACCATCTGTTAGATTACCACCCATTAGGCGTTGGACTACCACACGTTAGATCACCACGCGTTGGATTACCACGCGTTGGATTACTACACATTGGATCACCACGCGTTAGATTACCACGCGTTAGATCACCACGCGTTGAATTACCACGTGTTGGATTACCACCCGTTAGATTACCACCCGTCAGATTACCACCCCTCAGATTACCACCCGTTAGATTACCACGCGTCAGATCACCACGCGTTGTATAGCTACGCATTAGATCACCTATGCATTGTGTTACCACCTGTTAAATTCTCAACGCGTCAAACTACTACTCGTTAAACCCCCAACGCGTTCAATTGTCACGTGTTAGATCACTATTCACTAAATTACCACGTGTCTACGCGTAAAATTACCTACTCGTTAAGTCGCCTACTCGTTAGATCACCACGCTACAGCTAGTTACATCTTAACGCGCAGTACAATGCCCACTAAATCAACGCATGTTAGATCGCTATTCAACCGATCCTAGCATCTATAGGTACGGCAATGGTCCCCCTAGATGTTTGAACTTGACAGTGTCATTGAAACTATTGCGATGATTCCTCATGTGACATGTGCCACCAGTGGTCTGCTCTGACCTTGATCTATAAAATGTGACTTCCTAATCAGCGCCATCCTAATAATAACTAATAAGAAGATTAGAGCAAACGAATGTATACTAAAGAATTATTCACTGAAGCATCTTGTTCACATAAATATCTGGACATACCATGACAAGTCTCAAAATGTCACAGATACATAAAAAATGATTTCATGTCAATATAATGGCGATGCAAAATGTCACAATGCGATTATTTCCACAACGAGCAAGGTCGAAACTAACGCGCTTCAAATTGTACAACTCACCCCTATTTTTGAATCAAACGAACTGACCACTACCTTTATTTGTCTTATCTCTTTCACCTTATTAAGTCATTAATGTTCTACAGGAAGCTTGTGTCTAAAACTATCATCGTCCATTCTCAAACTGAACTAATCCAAATACGTAAACATCCAGTAGCCATAAACATCCGAGCTGAGATAAAACAATTAAGTTACAATACCCCCATTGTTTCATCCAACAAGAAATTTTCAAGATCAGAGGTTACACAAAATCTCATAACC